GGATCCCTGCAGAGGAGACGAGCGTCAAACACAGCCTTCTCCTGAAGAAGCTCACACAGATGAACTACACACCTGTATAGAGATCTGACCCTCCAGCTTCTCCATCTCTCCCAGCAGAGCACACACCAGCGACGTCTTCCCACAGTTTGTTTTATTTTTATTTTTATATATTTTTTATTTTATATCATTTTATCTTATCTTTATCTTACATTTTATTTTATTTATTTGAGTATTTTTTATTTATATTTTACATTATTTTTTTATTTTATTGTATAATTTTTATTTTATTTTATATTTTACTTTATTTTGTGTCTTGTGTTGTCTTGTCTCTTGTGTTCTGACTGTTGTGAATGCTTTAAGAAAGCAACTTTTAAAGGCGCTATATAAAGTTATTATTATTATTTTTTCTCTGTTCTTTATTTGACGCATAACCCTGCGTCCCTCACTAACTGTGCACATGCACATACTCATGCAAAAAAAGGCATGCAAACATTTTCACAGAAATGTTGATACGTTGACAAGTTCGCACTTTTTTCTAAAGCATGAAATTTAGAAACCACTCGCATGTGAAAATCCTTAATAAACATCAACGCTGTCAGTATAAAATGTTTCTAATATATAGATATTGAATAATGAAGTGACCCTAAAATAAATCTTTTGTATTTCAGTCCAATAGAAATAATGTGCTTTATAGCTTTAGGATAGATTCTGCACAAAACTGCGGCTGAAATATAGTCGAGGTCTTTATAAAAGTGGGTGTTTTGTTTTAATTACACTTTTGTCTCTACTGTAAGCGTCATGCAAATGAACGTAAGTGAAGGAGGTTGTGCACAAAGCCCATATATGGAGATAGTGGGTGTGTATTATGCTAATGAGCATCTGCTGACACGCCCCCATCATTTAGAATAATTCCGATTTATCTGCACTGCTGTGAACCTTCTCTGAGCACACAAGTACGATCAGCTGTACACATTATGATGTTCAGTGAACGCGAGTCTTACTTGTCGAGAGCGGCCTGGTCTTGTTTGGCCCATGAGAATTTCCCGTTTACGACGCTCACGGCGTATTCTGACGAGAGAGAAAGCGTGAGTCCGCTGAACTGAAGGAGAGGAAACTTGCAGACAGCAGGGATTTCACAATGACTCAGCATGAGAAGAGTGTGGGCTGTTACCTGACGTGTTGTTTCTTCTGTCCACGCTCTCGGGATCGAGCTCATCGTGACTCAGGAAGCCCTGGATGCGTTTCAGAGACACGCTGGCCTGACGGACGATCACACACAAAACAATCAGACAATTATTACAGGAATATCCTGTGGTGAATATTACAGTAAACGATCAAAACAAGCAAACGATCAGAACTGAACCTGCATCACAGCTTTCTAAAGTACGTCACTACTGATGAATTATTACAGACAAATGAGGCCAACAGGTGATTACATATTAAATAACATTATATATATATATATAAAGTCTTAAATATATACTGTATATGTGTGTATTTATATATACATATAAATATACACAGTACATACACATATCATGTAAACACAAAATGTTATTTTGGATGCGATTAATCGTGATTAATCGATTTGACAGCCCTAATATCTTAATAATCTTAGAACCTATATTTTTTCTTTTTTTTTTCTTTTTACAACTTTAGCTCTATATGACAGATTATATATATATATATATTATTTTTTAATTTTTTTTAAATACTACATTTATCTTTTTGACAACTTTACATATGTAGTGACATAACTACATACATAAATACATATAAAATAAATAAACAATTTTGCCTATATACTGATTTTCCGCCATATTCGCCAGCGTCCGCGACATTGCTCTAAAGTTGTATTTAAGCTGTAATCTTCCAGTAATATTAAGGAAGGCTCACTTGTACGATGCTGCTGATGACCTGCGGAAGCATGTTTAACGGGAACCTCAAGATGTTGAACAGAGACAGAGACACGAAGGCCTTCTCTGCGTCCAAGACATTGTTCACATCCACAGTCACGAACACAGCAAACGTGGTCAAAGCCACCTGCACAAGACAATCATACAAACCTACAAGAGTCAAACGGATCAAAAGCAAACAAAGGGCCGTGTTTCTTCTGCACTTTGAGCTTATTAATCACGCCGGCTAATGCACTTTTGAAACATGAGCTGGCAACTCGACGCCTAGATAGGGATCCACCGCATCATTAGGCATATCAAAGATAAGATTCTGCATTTCCATCAGACACACGAAACCGCAGAGAAAGAGATAAGCTACCAGGAAGGGCGCGCTGGTCCAGGCCATGGTGGAGAGAGCGCGTACTAGAGTTATCAAATAAATGAATCAAAATAATTACATGATATGCTGATTAATTCATCAAACTATTCACAATCAATCACATATATCAATATTTGATAAGAAAAGTCCCCAAAATCAATATAACTGAAAGACATTACAAAAAGTGGCTTTAGAAGTCAAAATATTGTTTTATTTCCACTTCAACATATTTTCTTAAATGTATGTACATAATAAATATACACAGTACACACACATGTATTATGTAAACACAAACTTTTATTTTGGATGCGATTAATCGTGATTAATCGATTTGACAGCCCTAATATCTTAATAATCTTAGAACCTATATTTTTTCTTTTTTTTTTCTTTTTACAACTTTAGCTCTATATGACAGATGCCGGCAGAAAAGCAGAAAATAATGTATATATATATATT